AATAAATTTTTTATAATAAATTTATTTTTTGTTTTATTTAATTCTTTTTTTTTAATTAAATTTATTTAAGAATTATACGCACTTGCTTCTCATACAAGATTCATATTTGATTTATATTAGAGTTTCTATCTAGATTAATTTTCGTTATTTTGTTTAAAAAAGAATCGTGTGAAATATCAAAAAAACTACGGAAAAAGTTTATTTCTTTTCGTATTAAAAAAGGGTATTTTTAAAAATTGTGTTATGATTATCTAATTAATGAAAGAAGACTAGAATAAAAATTTAAGTAGCGAATAATTAGATAGAAATTCAATGAGAAAAATACGATTTGCTACGGAAGGAACAATGAAGTTGCCAACTGTATAGCGTCCCTTTACAGTTCCATGAAACTCCCACAAAAGTCACAGATGGAGGCAACTTACAGCCAGAAAGATACGGAAGTATCCCATATTATCCTCTACCCTATTATACTCAACTCTCCCCTATCCATAAATCCGCAGCTGCTGAACTCGAAATAATTTTATAGGAATGCGACATAAATCTCTCGCGAAGGATGATTATAATTAATGGATATTTTATATAACATATATTATATCCCTATTTTGTATAATCCAGTAATATATGCGTTAAAAATGCATACGAGACAAAGATCGATCAGTGTTATTTTTTTAATATACGAGCTTCGTGATATGTTCATTAAATCGTCTCTTTTGATCGTTCAAAACATTCTACATCATTTTAGCTGTGAAAGAGAAAAGTAGAAAAAGAAGAAAGAGAAAATACTTTGGATATATTTTCGTATGTTTCTCGAGCGTTGCGCAAACGTCGTCCACGCGTGTAACACTCCCCTACAAAAGAAAGGCGTAAAAAAAAACATTGAACGTGACCCGATTCTTTCGGGTTATTCATAGCGTTGCACACGTCCGCAAGAGTTTGAGCGTGGCGCAGCATGTAAAGACGCGCGCATTATTTGTGCGTGTGTCTGGCCGAGTAGCGGATTGAGGGTGACGTAAGTGCATAAGAGAGCGATCTGAAAGAGTTTAATTCGTCGTCGAAACGATACGCCTCGCCTGCGCCACGTCCGACTCTGTAGTTTTATAGCCCATCGGACTGTAAAAGATAATTGGATCCTAGCTTAACTATTATTGACCCGCACTGCTCAGCCCAGACGACAAAAGAATCATCCGAATCTATGTCAGAATTTAATGCTACCGCCCAAGTCACATATTTGATTTAATTAATTCAGTTTATAACGCAAAATTGATTAATTGAAAATACTGGAAACTGGAAATTTTCTCGATTCTAATAAAATTTTTCTCTCTCTTTTTCTCCCTCTTTCTCTTTTTCTCCCTTTTTCTCCCTTTTTCACGCGTTAATGAGAAAGATTAAGGGTTAATTTTGCTTCACTTCAGATCGCAAGCTTTGTGAGTTTCTGTACAAATTCACGGTGAGATACTGAATGCTCTGCTGGGGTTTCACCTTAATTAACTGTCCTAAATTCGTGCGCGCGAAGAAGGGAAAAAAGAATCTATCAAAGGAGCGTTTATCAGATTAGAGGTTCGCCTTTGTCGCGCTTTTCAATAGGACTTAATTAATTTTTTTTTTTTTTTATCCGTTCGCCACCGCTCAAATCGACTAATTAGCCGATTGCGCAAAATCGATCTTCCGTACGATAAATTTTCCAAAAGCAGACTATATTCTTTTTCGATCGTGTAAAAATAATATAAGAAAAAACAAATTTGAGCATTTTTAGTAATTGTCAATAATAATCAATAATAATAATAATTTATTTGTATAAATTTGGAATCAAATGATATTTGGCGCGAGAGGTTCTCTCTATTTAATTACACTCAAACATATCTCCGAGTGAGATAAAAAGGATAATGTTTATCTATCAGCCATTTAATCGGCACTTGAGAAATCGATTTTTTGTTGGATGAAATCTTAGACGAAGAAACCAAATCCCGGTTTCCTGTCGCGCGCGGAAAGAAATGTAACCAGCAGCGTTTTTGCCACTCTGCGAGAAATTTCCATGCAAATGTTTCGTGATCGATATCCTCCACCGATGCCGATCACGCGGTATCTATCTTCTCCCTCAGTCTTTCTCATCACTTTTCTTCGCGGGTTTCTCCGGCGACGGTGTTTACCCCCTTGAGATACGGCGAGAACATTTCGCGCCGCGCGGCGCGAGATGCAAATTTCCGAATCAACAATTTAAAGCCGTCTACTCGTTTAATTAAGGATTTCGGAGTTTCTACAGTTGCAGTAGAAACCTCGATTTATTCTCTCGCAGAAATAAATCGTGCGGCGAAATTGTTTTAACAGTAAGTGGTAACGATGTGTCTTGTAGGTTCTCTTACGGGAATTATTTTCTCGATTTTTATATAAAATTTCTGAAAATCCGATTTAGTACCAAGCGGCTTCGGAAATAATTGGAAAGCTTTAATATTACTAATTATTTTATTATCCGATATAAATATCTGAAGTTTTCATCTCGCATAAAGTTTCGCCAATTAGTATGACATTTCGATTTCACTCCAAATATATGGTTCTGAGGGAATCATACTGTATCGAGGAAAAATACACAGAAATATCACAAAAATCTTGAGAATCTGTTTCTTACGTTCTTATATGTAGGATTCTTATACGTCAAAACTTCGGGAAACTTATATAGTTATCGGATTTTCCAAATAGTTGAAAATCAATACACCATAAATGTCAATGGAGCGCAATAAAGCAATTTGCAAAACAATATACCATCACGTCGGTTCTAAAATCCATTTTTTTAACAAATATAAATAATTTTTCGGAAAAAAACAAACATTTTATAGAGCAATTTTTTACAACGATAAAAATAACGTTGTTTTATAAACCAGTTTTTTAAAAATGATTAAGATAACATTGGTTTGTGTAACTTTGTGGTTTCTTCCGCGTTAAAATAATATTGTTTTGTATAACAGTTTTAAATGGTTATATTTATACGTATAGGGTTTTTCTGTATATAATCGCTCTCTTCTCTTACGCACGAGACATCCGATATGACGCGTGCCAAGGTAAATGCGTATTACACGTCATTGATTTTTCTCGTTCTGCCATTATTATGCGTCGTTGAATCCCCATCCATTGTACGCAATACGACAATGTCTTACCACACCCAGTGCGTTTCATGTGGAATTTAATTGTTTCGTAGGCGTAGCACGCGCTTGACTAATATTTGCTCGATTGTCGCGCATAATCAGTATTTCAATCTTGGAAATGTTTTTAAAATTAATGCCGTTATGTTAAATTTTTTATTTACACACAATATCACTTTTTTACCTTTACACAACAATATGATTAGTTTTATATGAATTACATATTTCTATTTTTAATATTCTATCTCTTTTTCTTTTCCTCTCTCTTCATTAATATATCTTCATTAAAGAAATCTGTTATTATATTATATTACGTTGCAAAGAAACCGCAAAAAGGAAATAAAGAATGGATTGTATACTGGCTCATATACATCACATATCGATACATTTGTCTACCTCTATGCACCGCGGCGCGTATCGCATTATATCGAGATCCGAGTGTAATTTGTCGCCCGACGTGTATAACGCCGTTTTCGTTTAACGAGCCGGCAAATGGAGCCCTTGCAAAATGTCCCATCGCCACGAGAACAAAAAGCTGTTCCCCGCCCTTCTCCTGCATTTCCTTCCTCTCCCCCCGCTTTAGCTGCTCTTGACTGCCAGGCGCGAACCCCGCGGCTAACATCTGTTACCCTCTGTCGCTAATTGTTATTACACATACGACGCTACTCATGAATGTGTGTGTGTGTGTTTGTGATGGCCATTAAACTTCCCCATTACATTATTGCCGGATCGATCGATTGGTCGATCGACAATGGTTTGAGCTTCCTTTCTACGAGAAAGACGAGCAGTTTAATAACGAGCAAAGATTTCCCGCCGTTAAGAGCAAAAAATATGCACCACCGGATAAAAACATGTAACCGCGTAATTACATAACACCTCTATTACGCTCGAAACAGTGTTGCAATTTGCTACTGCAGATGCTATGTTTCCACGTAAATGGGCAATTTACATACATATATATATATACACAATCGTTTTACTAAATGCACGCATGCTTATTTTAGGTAGCATTGTTAGAACAAAGTGCACCTTTACGAGATTTGGTGAAATGGTATACTTTTTTGTGTGTATAGACATACACAAAAGTACACCGTTTTACTAAATGTGTAGTACAAATTTTATTTTCGTAGCGTCTTTAGAACAATGTGCACCTTCACGAGACTACACGTATTTTTCTCAACGGATTATTATTTCTTGTACCATTATCATTCTTACGTTTGTATCGATCGCGCGACGAAGTATATAAAAGGTTCTGTATTAAATTGTAGCAAATAAGGATAATTTTGAAGAGCGCTTTCGACGCTACAGATGCAGAAAAACGCGTTATATCGCTCTCTTAATATCTGAAATTAAATAAATATTATTCAATAAATATTCTCTACATAATGAATTCAATTATATACAACAGACTCTTATTTTCTGTTATAGAACGATCTATCTACGGAGCAAGCATGGAACCCATCACAACGATTACGCGGCATAGTTAAGGTAAGAGGTCTTGCAAGTATATGCACATTTCCAACTGATATAAGTAATTAATTCGCAATCGTGCAATAAATTCTTATTGCGTATTATCTTGAACTTTCGCGCGTTTGATATTTTTTTATAGGACACGATGATTAGATACATCATCGGCACTTTGCGCCTGAATGCCAAGCAAAGGTAACACCTACTCTCGTTACGATTCGCGCATACGCGTTAATTGCAAGTCATTGGGTCAAACCATAATGACTCGCGTACAGTTTTATTCTATGAACCATATTGCATATCGAGGAACTAATTTGTCAGCTATGTGCTTCGAACCAGCGAGCGGCAGTGTTGCATGTGATCGGTTATTAATAACTCTTGGCAAAGTTAAGGAAATCAATCTAATATTACTTTATGTAATAAAAACTACGCACAGGGGATATAATTGAATTTATAAAAAGGAGAAAGAAAAGATTTAAAATGTTTTTCTTTTTTTATTCTCATTGATTTAAGTTCGGGAAATATATAAATATGATTGATATAACTCTTGTGTGAAAATGTAAAATTTACGTTGGAGAAATTATGAATCTAGGCGATGAAGACAAGCATCTTTAAAGATAAATTATACAAGTTTGAGGTCGGAGGTCTCGATCTTTTTTCGGTCATTTCCGATGATTAGAGGCCAACTGACATAGGATAAGGCGGTCCAAGAAACGAACGTGAATTATGGTCGCCCATAAGCAAAGTCATCGGAACAGAATTCGCGATTGTGAACGATACTGTCTGACAGGTAAATAATATTTCATAACAGATAAGACGAACGATACGGTGTGCCGGTTTGCGATTTGCAGAGAGAAGCGGCATTTCCGCGCGAGGTAATTGCTTTTTTCTCTCTCGCGCGCTTTCTCTATCTCTTTCTCTCCTTTAGTGGCGCTTTCGACGTATCGTGGGAAAAATATATCGATCGCGACTGGCGCGAGTGCAATCGCACGAGTATGCAATGCTGAGCGGTAACACGACCATCGTTTCTCAGAAGCGTTGCTGCCAGCCCGATGAAAATTTATTACGTTCTCCATTTTCTTAAAGCAACGCGAAAACTAGAATTTTGTACGAGGATGGATTGTCCATATCGTATAACGATATATCTGTAAATTTTTAATTATATAAATTATTGATGTTAATAAATTATTTAGTTTATTGCGAATTATGAGACAGATAATCGCGATTATTTAAAAATTTTGTCCAGAGTTAAAATTCAGACACCGAATTTTATTTATGTTAATCATAATATTTCGTTTCTTTGAGAGAATCCCTTTCATACATTTCGTCTCGGGTGGGAGACCTAATGTAGTTAGTTGCATACGCGGAAAGAGGAAAGTTTTGAGTAATACTTATGTGTATTTTTTCCCGGGAAGAAACTTATATCGTATATAATAATTTTTCTCATGAAAATATGTGTAGCGCCTGGATTCTCTTTTATTTCGCGACAATAGCAGTCGCGCGTCCTTGATTTTCGAGATTATTAAGTCGACAAAGAAGCTGCTGCGAAAAATATCTCTATGTTCGTTAAGTAGCTGAAAAAAAGAAAAAGATTGACGCGATGGCGCCTTTCTATTCTGATTTCACTGCTTACTTAATGCAACATATCATGCATGCCGCATGTTCCTCCCGTGAACTTTCTATTATTTTAAAATGAAACGTTTTACTATATATATATATATCTCAAATGTAAATGCATTTTTTGATTGCAATTTTAAATGAGATATGACTGCATTTATTTCTCGAAAATATTTCCAAGATATTTATATTTCATGTGTCGAGAAAAATATCTTGTTCAAAGACACACGCTATTCTTGGCAAGCGTGCATTCATAATAATCAACACGTAGGACAATTCTGCATGTTTGCATGCAACTGACGTGTTTATCGCGAAATAATTGAAGTATATAATATATTTTGATTGATAATTCGAAAAAGCGAAAAATTGATTTTTTGTCATATAAATAAATAATACGCATAATTTATTGTGTCAAAAATATTTTCTAATTTACTTTTCGCCAGTTGGCAAAACTAACAAATGGAGAATGAATGCATCGTTTGGCAAAACTATTCTCGCGATCAAAATAAATTATTAATAGTTTCCTAGTGAACATGCTACGTTATAATTTCGAAACAAAGAAAGTTTTGGAGCTTCTCCAAAATTTCGTCGAACTTGATGTTTCGTCATCGGGTTCTTGGTCCGCTTGATTACGCAAATAGTTGTAAATACATTGAGAACTTTGTTTTTTTTTATTTTAAAGAAATTGAAATCTAAAGAAGTTATCATTAAAAAATAATGTGAAATTGATGCACTATAAAAATGAAATATAATTTTTACATATCAACAATTGTTTAAAAAATTGTATAATTAGTCAAATATTGCAAAAAATTGATAAAAGATGAAAAAAAATGTTGATGATATTTATCGAGCTTTTTATAATATTGTATTTCTACGAATAGCGAATCTACGATATTCAAATTGTCGAGACGATGAAAGCGTCCGAATATATATAGGGGTTGCAAATGCAGTGCTTGGCGTCGGAGTGTGTTTTCGATGCGGCGCACGTCGTTGCATCCCGGATTCGGCTGGCAAAGCTTGATGCAGAGAGAAAGAAAAGCGAAATAATAGACGGCTATGCAAAAGAAATGAAATGTTCATAATGAATGACAACTCCGCGCGTGCGCGCGCGCATTTTACACGCGATGAATAGCATAGTATTTGCGAATGGAAACGTACGAGCCTTTTATCCGCGAGTCGTACACATCGGGCCGAATTACGAGCGAATAGAATATATATATAGTAAAACGGGATTGCATCGGGAAAGCCTACTTACCCTAGCGATTCAATAGCATTCGTATTTAGGTTTCTGAATGCTTGTCCAAATCGCGATCAATCTCTCACGATTATCATTAAAAATAATTGTTTTTGCCGAGATGCAGTATAATGATAAATATTACATTAAATATTTCTTGAGTCCCTAAAGATAAATATCTGTACATCACATATTTAATTATAAAATAAATGAAGTTTATATTTAAATAATTATAATTATTACAGTTAAAAATTGAAATTCTCTATTTACATTATAAATAGAGCTAGATTAAAATTTCACCGAGAAAATATCAACGCGAAATTTCATCAAGGCACCTGTCCTACTCCTTTACACTCTCCACAGTTTGCTGTAGAAATGTGGATATTCTAGGCATTTGTTTAAATTAATAGCGCGCACGTAATTAGGTCAAACGAAATAGCACGGTTATACAAACGCGAGAAATGGCACATGAAAATTAAAATTTACCGCAACGTTTATTCAAATTTCTAGCTCGTATCTGGCAAGATTCAATCCTGACGTTATCGTTGTTCGCGCGCGAACAACGAGATAAACTTTGCATATCTTTCCTTTTCGAATATAAATACGAAAAGAGGGAATGTCGATGTGCAATCGGAAGCCGAGCATTCGTTGGAATTCGACATAAAAGTACATCCATGCAATATGTCGCGTTCGCGCGGAAGTAACGTTGAGTGACGATGAAAATCGTAACGGCATTTTGCGCGAGATGAACAAAACGGCACTGCAACGCGGATGTTGCATCGCCACGTGTGCGCCAGCAACGTTCGAGCAGCAACAGCCGCGGATGGATGAGGGCAAATGTGGGAACAGCGTGTCCTTTATTCCGCTTGCGCGATGCACGCGACGCTTCTCGTAAGATAAACGAAGGAGGATCCTTCCCTGCGCGTGTTTTCCTCTTCATAATTCATGTTTCCGCGAGTTTACGGTGTGCCTATAAATTTCCGAGCGAGCTTTAACGCGAATAAAGCTGACGCAGCAACGAGCAAGACGAAGGGAAGCTGCAGCTCTTAGCGTAGGGTCGCCGTCGACGTTCGTGCGTGCAGTGTATATTTAGTGTTTTTTGAAGGAATTTTAAATGAGTACATTTGATTTGAATTTGATATGCATTGTGTTAGAGACTTGATTTTTATTATAGAAAATATATATAGATGAAGAACTCTCGCTTTAAATTGCGTTTGGATAAAAACATTAATACGTTTCAACTAGAAACGCAAGATTATTAAAAAGTTATTTATGTTTAAATATTTATTGTGTTTTTGTTTTAATGAGATGAATTTATTTGATGAGAATAAGAGAACTCGCGGTATATGAGAAATAGAATGATTAGTGACATAATAATACCGGTGAATTAATTATAAGTACAAAGCAATTTCGTTTAAATAATATCAATTATTTAACGTGAATACGCATGGTTACATAAATCTGTATAACAACATACGTGATTTCAATATTATTCTGTTTGCCCGTCATATAATAATATTAGTGGAACAGGTGATCACCAAACAATTTTATAGTAACCTATCAAATTAGATTATGCTAATTAATTATTATGTAATGACGTCCGTGCATTGTGTTGTGTACAAAACGTAACCAGAAGCAGAAATTTTTTATTTTTTTATAAAAAATTATGTGCAATATTAGTTACATTTATAAGTATGACATAAACATTTGTTGAAAGTATAATTTGTGAAAGTATCTCGTTAATTTAATTACGTACTTTTTTTACGAGTTTATGACAGATGAGTGCAATCTCAATCACGGATATTATCAATGACAGCTGAGCGATTTGTTCCACACAGCGGAGCATCGCATTGTTAACTTATCATTCTTCTCGCTTTATTTTCTCGCTACCTATACTTTTATTTCGCTTACGTCAATTCCGAATTAAGCGTGGGCGTGTTGTTTTCATAGTGTGTGTGGTGTGTATGTATGCCATTATGCGCAACAGGAGCGATACATATGCAAATACGGGAGAATCAACTATAGAAGAGTATGTTGTGCAAGCACATACATACCAAATTAAGAAAGAGAAAGTCAGAGAGATAGTTTCATTGCTTATAGAAGATTGAAGGATATTCGCAAGAAAATTAATGTACATGACTTATTAGAGGAATCGTAAAAAAAATCTTGT